TCCTGTCCTTGGGGCTCATTAGACTTGGATATTACCTTGTCAAGGAGAGGTATAAGGGTTTTATGTAATAGTGAAATACAATATTTATCAAGAGGTTCATGGTTTAAAAGTGTGCTTTCATTTAATCATTATAATAATCACCATATCATAATAAAAAACCAAGATTTATAAAAATTATTATGATTTATTCAAATTAATTTAGCTAGTGAGGGATAAAGTCATAATTTGAACTTGGATATTCTGACACTCAATTCAAGGCTTTTCTCACTGACCTAGATTAGTGGTTGCATTTTGGTGGGCATCTAAGTGTTTTTTCATATCTAAATCCCATTCATTTATCCAACAATATTTATTGTGCATCTACTGTGTGTCAGGAACTAGTCTAGATATCAGGGATAAAACAGCAACTGAAACAAAATCTCTGGTTTCATAGTTTCACTAGGAATCTATATCCTAGTGAAAGGAGAGAGAGAAATAAATTAATTTATAGTATATAGGTTGGTGATAAGTGCAATTAATAAAAATAAAATAGGAAAGGATAAGAGGTGCTGGCGGGGGTGGCATTTTTCAATTATAGGTAAAGGTAAAACAATACATAGACTAGAAAAAAGTATTTGACTAAATATCTGAAGAAAGTAAGGTAATGAACCATGTGGATATTTGGGGAAGGAGCCTAGCCCCAATGTGGGAGCATGTCATGTTTGAGAAACAGGAAGAAAACCAGGTAGCTGGAGGAGAGTGACTAGGAGCTACAGTAACAGGAGAAAATGGCAGAAAGTTAAGGGGATGGAGAAAGCAGATAATGTAGGACCTTTGGCTTTTTCTCATTGTCACTGGTGGGCATGGCCTCCTAAGAATATGTAGGCAGGAAGGATCACTATGTTGGTGGCCCATGGGTATCTATGAAGTCACAGAAACCAACTATAACCTACCTCCCGCTTCTTAGCATGCCTCTTTACCTCTCTTCCAGTACTAACTGGGTTCTGCCTCCCAGGAGCAGTCTATCTGGCCCTTTTGCCCTTTTGCTCCCATGACCCAGAGCTCCTTACCTGGTGAGACTTGAAATAGTCCTCTTGGCAGGCAGGGAGGCACAAGCAGATGGCCGGCCGCAATCTGATAGCAGGTAGTAGGTTCCAGAGAAGTGAGCTGGTGAAGGGAAAGGATGACTGTCATACTCATTAAGTAAGAGGACTTTATGAGGGAAAAGGCACTAATCTCAATCATGGCTGGTGTTCAATGACTGACTACAGATGGAGATAACTACTTGGGCTGGAGAGCTGTCAGCAGAGAGGACAGAGAATGCAGAGATGTCTATTCCAGAGGCTGGGGTCTTCCCATCGATTTCCTGCTTTATGGGGAGTCAAACAGGATAAGAACAAAGAAACTAGGATCTGGGCACAAGTATCATTTTGAAGCTGTGGATGTATTATTTGCATCTCATTTACACTAATCCACTTAGTAGTCTCAGGCCTGGTGGTGATTACTTGGTCTGAGAGATGTAAAGAACTAAGTCCACTGTTTGGTACAGTAAGAATTAGTTTTTATCACTGCTGCTATTGCTTTTATTGTTAGAGCTGTAAATAACCAGTAAGAGAAATCATATAACCTTATAGATTTCAAGTTTGGTTGGGTTTTTTGTTTGTTTGCTTGCTTTTGGGGGGATTGGTAATGAAAGTCTTTTTTTCAAAATAATTACAACAAATATCTTCAATATATACATGAAAATATGAGTAGTATTTTATTATCACAAAGTGATTATGTAGGTTCAAATTTATGTTTACTTATAAAATCAACCAATGAGAATGAGGCCATTTCAATGAAAAAAGAGAACATACAATAATTTGAGTATGTATGTTATTTATTAAATTTATTGGGGTGACATAGGTTAATGAATGTATGGGTTTCAAGTGTATATTTCTGTGATACATCATCTGTATATTGCATTGTATGTTGACCATATAAAATCAAATCATCTTCCGACACCATAAATATATGACCCCCTTTTACCCTTTACTACCCACACCTCCTATCCCTATGGTAACCACCGTACTCTTGCCTGTGTCTATGAGTGTTTGTTTGTGTTTCTTGTTTGTTAATTTGTTGCTGTCAGGTTTGTACTCCACATCTGAGTAAAATCATATAGTTCTTAACTTTTCTGTCTCTCTTAATTCACTTAGCATGATATTCTCAAGGTCCATCCATGTTGTTGCAAATGGCAGTATTTGATCTTTTCTTATGGCTGAGTAGTGTTCCATAGTATATATGTACTACATCTTCTTTATCTAATCTTCTGTCAAGGGACACTTAAATTGTTTCTATGTCTTGGCCACCATGAATAATGCTGCAGTGAACATAAGAGTGCATATAACTTTGAGAATAAATGTTTTCAAACTGTTTGGGCAAATACTCAGAAGAGGAGTTGCTGGTTTATATGGAAACTCTTAAATTTTTGAGGAATCTTCACATTGTTTTCCGTACTGGCTGTGCCAGTCTATATTCCCACCAGCAGTGAATTAGGGTCTCTTTTTCTCCTCAGCCTCTCCAAAGTTGCTAGCACTTGTCTTATTTGTAATAGCCATTCTAACTGGTGTGAGGTGGTATCTCATTGCAGTTTTGGTTTGTATTTACCAAATAGCTAGTGAAATTGAACATATTTTCATATATCTGTTGGCCATTTTCATGTCTTCTTGGGAGATGTGTCTTTTCAGGCCCTCTGCGCATTTTTTAATTGGATTGTTTGTTTATTCAGTGTTGAGTTGTATGAGTTTCTTATATATTTTGTATATTAACCTCTTGTTGGAGCTGTTCTTTTCAAATATCTTCTCCCATTTGGTTTGCCGCCTTTTTGTTTTGTTGGCAGTTTCCTTTGCTGTCCCACTCATTTGATATATTCCCATTCATTTATTTTTGCCTTTATTTTCCTTGTCTTTTGGGTCAAATTTATAAAATCTTCTCTAAGACAAAGGTCCATAAGTTTAGTACATATATTTTCTTACTATGTAATTCCTTGTTTCAGGTCTTATATTAGGTCTTTGATTCATTTTGAGTCAATTTTTATATATGGTGACAAACTGTAGTCTAGTTTCAATCTTTTACATGTAGCTTTCCAATTTTACCTGCACCATTTATTGAAGAGGCTTTCTTTTCCCCATTGTATGTTTTTGGCTTCTTTGTGAAAAAATTATTTGCCCATATACATGTGGATTATCTGAGCTCACAATTCTGTTCCATTGGTCTTTGTGTCTGTTTTTCTGCCAATACCATGCTCTTTTGATTATTGTTGCTTTGCAGTAAATTTGAAATCAGGGAGTGTGATATCTCCAGCTTCATCTATTTTTTTTTCTCCTCAGGGTTGCTTTGGCTATTCAGGGTCTTTTGTGGTTTCATACAAATCTAATAGTTTTTTATTCTATTTCTTTAAAAAATGTAATTGCAATTCTATATTATTTATTTTTCAATATATTTTATTGATTATGCTATTACACTTATCCCAATTTTTCCTCCTCTTCCCCCCTCCACACGGCACCTCCATTCCTACCAGCAATCCCACCCCCTTAGTTCATGTTGATGGGTCATGCATATAAGTTCTTTGGCTACTCCATTTCCTTTACTGTTCTTAACATATCCCCTGTCTATTTTGTACCTACCAATTTGTGTTTCTTAATCCCTGCAACCTATCCCCAATCATCCCCTTTCCTCCTTCCAACTGATAACCCTCCAAATGATCTCCATATGTATGATTCTGTTTCTGTTATGTTTGTTATTTAGATTCAGTTATTGATATTGGTGAATTTATTGCCATTTTAATGTTCATCGTTTTCACCTTCTTATTCTTACATAATTCCCTTTAACATTTCATATGATAGTGTCTTGGTAATGGTGAACTCCTTTAATTTATTCGTGTCTGAGAAGCTCTTCATCTGCCCTTCAATTCTAAATGGTAGCTTTGCTGGATAGATTAATCTAAGTTTTAGGTCCTTGCTTTTTATCATTTTGAATACTTCTTTCCAGCTCCTTCTTGCCTGCAAGGTTTCTTTTGAGAAATCAGCTGATAGTCTTATGGGAACTCCCTTGTAGGTAAGTCTCTCCTTTTCTCTTGCTGCTTTTAAGATTCTGTCTCTACTTTTAATCTTGGGTAATTTAATTATGATGTGTCTTGGTATATTCCTCTTTGGATCCAACTTGTTTGCAACTCTCTGTGCTCCCTGGACATATATGTCTTCACCAAATTTGGGAAGTTTTATTTCATTATTTTTTCAAATAAGTTTTCTATTTCTTGTCTTCCTTTTCTCCTTCTGGCACCCCTATGATTCTGATGTTGGTGCCCTTAGAGATGTTCCAGAGGCTCCTTAGCCTATCCTTTGTTTGGGTTTTTTTTTTTTTGGATACTTTTTTCTCCTCCCTGTCCTGATTGAATGCTTTTTTTTTTTTCTTTCTTACGTTCCACATTGTTGATTTGATTCTCAGCTTCATCTCCTCCACTGTTGGTTCCTTATAGTTTTTCTTTATTTTACTTAATATGGCCTTCATTTCTGCCTGGGTCTTTTTTATGCTGTTGAAGTACCCAATGAGTTCCTGGAGCATCCTGACCACCAGTGTTTTGAACTCTGCATCTAATAGGTTGCTTATCTCCATTTTGTTTAGTTAGTTTTCTGGGGTTTTATTCTGTTCTTTCATTCAGGCCATATGTCTTTGTCTCCTCATTTTGGCAGGCTCCCTGTGTTTGTTTCTGTGTATTAGGTAGAACTGCTTTGACTCTCTGTCTTACTAATGTGGCCTATTATAGAAAAGGCACTGGTAAATTGTGTGGGTGGAGCCTTACATAATCGCCAGGGCACAGCAACCCATGTCACCACTCTGTGGCTGTGTGGAGGAGAGCTCAGAGAGGGGACAATGCCACTGCCTGGCCTCTGGAGTTTTGCCTACGAGGAAACTTTCTCCTGGCCCTCACCTTGTTGCCAGTCACTTCACTTTCTCTCCATATGCCACTGGTGCCCTTCCCACTATTTCCTTGGTGCTGAACTCCAGAGCAGGTGGGTCTGCATGTGTCCTAAGTCTGTTGTGGAGCCTTTAAGAGGAGTCTCTTGAGAATCCTGCAGTTTCTTCCACTGCCCAATCCCTACTGGATTTTACAGCAAGAAGTTATGGGGACTTTTGTTCCTGGTGCTGGAACCCTGGGTTGGGTGGTCTGGTCTCGGGCTGGGATCCTTCACTCCCGAGGTATCCCTCCTGATTTTTATCTACCACACGTGGAACTGGATGTGGGACCACCCATTCTGTGCCTCTGCATCTTTCCATGCCTCTCTGTGCCTTTCCATGCATCTCTGAATCTCTGCCCCTCGTACTTGTCTGGATGAATGTGGGTTCTTTAAATCCTTGGTTGTTGGACTTCCATACAGCTTGATTTTCTGACAGTTCTGGATAATGTTGTTTTGTAGTCTAGTTGTAAGTTTTGCTGCAGTTGTATGAGGAGACGAGGTGTGCTTATGTATGCCTCCATCTTGACTGGAAGTTGTCATTGGAATCTTAATGGGGATTGCATTAAATCTGTATATTGCTTTAGGTGATATGTGCATTTTGATTATGTTGATTCTTCCAATCCACGAACATGGAATATCTTTCCATTTCATTGTGTCTTTTTAAATATCTTTTAATAATGCTTCGAACTTTTCAGTTTATAGGTTCTTTACATTCTTTGTTAAGTTTATTCTTAGGTGTTTTATTCTTTTTTTGTGATTGGAAAATGAATTGTTTTTTCCATTTCTTTTTATTAAATTTCATTGTTAGTATACATGAATGCAGTGGATTTATTATTCTTTTTATTTTTAAATCATGTTTAGTCTATTACAGTTGTCTCAGTTTTTCCCCCTTTGCCCTCCTCCACCCTTCCCACCCTGCCCCCCTCTCCCACAGTCAATTCCCACTCTGTTGTCCATGTCCATGGGTCATTCATATGTGTTCTTTGTTTACTCTCTTCTCTTTCTTTCCACCACTGTCCTCCTTCCCCATCCCCTCTGGTCACTTTCAGTCTGTTCCATGTTTCCATGCCTGTGGTTTACTTTGTTTGTTAGATCATTTTGTTGAATAGATTGCACTTATAGGTGAGATCATATGGTATTTGTCTTTCACCGACTGGCTTACTTCACTTAGGATAATAGTCTCCAGTTCCATCCATGTTGTCCCAAAAGGTAAGAGTTCCTTCTTTCTTTTCTTTTTTTAATGCAGATTGATTGTATTCATTTATTTTTTAAATGAGAAAATCCATTATAAAATATTAATAATTTTATTTATTTTATTTTATTTTTTAAAATTTTATTTTAATTTATTTTTTCAAATACATTTGTCTCTGCCTCCCCCCCCCCACCACTTTCCCTTGACCCCTCCCTCCGTCCCTCCCTCAGATCTTCCCCTTTGGTTTTGTCCATGAGTCCTTGCTATATGTTCCTTGCCTTTCCCCTTCCCTTCCTTTTCCCCTCCCCCCTCCCTCCTTCCCTCTTGTCTCTGTTGATTTCTTTTCCTTTCAGTGTTGCTGGTCTTATTTTCCTTGCATCTTTGTATTGTTGGTTAGGTTCCGCTTATAGGTGAGATCATATGGTATTTGTCTTTTGCCCCCTGGCTTATTTCGCTTGGCATAATGCTCTCCAGTTCCATAAATTCATTATAAAATCTCAGCAATTAAAACTACATGATACCAGCACAGAAATTATCAAGTAGCTCAATGAAATCCAATGAGCATTCTAGAAACAAATGTATATATCTGTCTAACAATGTAATATATGATTCAATTGATATTTCAAATCAATGGGGAAAATAAGGCTTATTCAACAAATAAGGTGCATGGACCACTATTACTTAAAATAAAACAAATATAGAGCCCTATTTCACACATTATACCAAAAATATTTAGGTAAGTTAAAAATCAATATGTAAAAATCTAAGGAGTTTTAAGGGAATGCAGTGGATTATTATACATTGATTATATATCCTGGAACTTTACTGTATTTGTTTATTGTTTCTATTTTTTTTTTTTTTTTGGTGAAAACGACAGATATGAGACGAAACAGAATTTTACTTCTCTCACCTTAGGGTTTTGGGGAGATACTTCAAGGCATCTCTGGGATGAAGGGCAGGTGATATTGCATCTCCTCCCTACCCCCAGCTTGCTGCAACAAAAGTAGTTTTACATTTATGTATTTTTTATATTGGATTTCCACTAAAGTTTTTATTTGATAGATGCATTCCATCACTGTTAATGGCAGCAAAATATTCCACTGCATCATGTAGGAGGCAGTGGGGAGAGATTCTATTATAAAACAAGGTCTCTGGGTATGAAAGAGTTTTAAAATAACTGTTATTTTCAAACACATGATTTATATAAACAAAGATACTGAGTCTTTTTATGGGCTAGGGCAGGCCTGGCATAAGGTCACATAGTGCATCTGTGGCAGAACCCAGGTTAGAGCAGTTATCTGCTCTAAATTTTGCAAGTGCTCCTATCCCACTCAAAATAAATGTCAAAATCTACTCTTTTCCTGTCATTATTTCTATGACTTGTTCTTTTACTATTCTCTCCCTTAGTGTGGCCACTCCAGCCACCCTAGCCTTCTTGCTGTTTCTTGTACACAACAGTTATGTTCCTAACTTAGCCTGGGAAGCTCTTTCTGTTCGAAGTGCTCTTCTCCCAGACAGCATTATGGCTTACTGCTTTCTCTCATTCAAATATTTGTTCATATGAAAACTACTAAGACTTGACCTCTGTATTTAATACTGTAAGCTTCCTGCACATCCAGCACCCCTGATGTTCTTTACCCTGTCCTAACTTTTCCATTTTCCACATAATTTCTCATCTTCAAGTATATGACATTTTCTTATTGTCTTTCTTCCTCAATTGCATGTGAGTTCCAGAAAGGCAGATATGTAGGTCTGTTTTGTTCTCTTCTGTATCCTAAGCACCTAGAAAAGTGTTTGGCACTTAGTAGGTGCTCAGTAAATATTTTAGTTAAATGAAGATCTATTCTCTCAGTCTGGGTTGTCTCCTAGAACTTTTCTCTTAACTTATGTTCTTCTCTCTTCTGCTCAATGTATCTCCATTCTCTGCCACTTACTCAGAATTTTGGACACATAGCCTTCTCTTACACTGACAGACCATAAATTTCTCATGGCATTTTGGGATTTAGTCACTGTGACCTTCATGTATGGCTTGGATACAGGAATGTCAATTGTTAAAATGGACAGTTTATAAAGACTGCTGTGGCCTTACTGCCTAAAACCAAAAGAGTTCCCCTCCTTTTTTTAATAGGCAGCAGAGGTTGACTTGAGTAAGGAAATTGGCAGGAGTAATTGGTTTCCCTCATAAGAGAGAGATTTACCCCCCAAAAGTAGCCATTATAAATAAAAGTTACAGTGAAATTATTTTATTAAATCTGTATACCCCAAGGGTGAGTCATGAAAGAAAGAAACCAAAATCTCCTCTGCAAGATAGTGGATCCTATTAATTTCAAAGGCAAGACTGGCCCCATGCTTTCCATTCCTCAATATGGGTTTAGGCATTAGGTCTGAGGAAACAAAATTTATGTCTCTTTTTTAGAGATGTGCTTACTTTATGGTAGACAAGTAAAGAAACAAGGAGACCCACATCTCTCACTCCTGGGAAAATAAATGGAAAACTTGAATTGAAAGATCTAAACCTACCTCCTTCCCCTGTGGAAAGCTGGCAATGGTGGAAAGAAACATAAATCTGAAGTGATGGCCTGGAGAAAGAAAGGTAAAAGAGGAATGATTGAGATTAAAACAGATCACTTGATTATCCAGGGGGTCAAAATGGAAAGAAGGGTGAGATTCAATGAATCTCTTTAGTAATGCAGGGGTAAAATTGGCATTGGGGTAGTAGATGATAGTGGTAGAGTATGTGGGAAAACATTTTGTTGGTGCCTTTCTTAAGTGTAGTTAGTGGGAGAAATCCCTCCTGAGATGAGAAGGCACATAATTCAACACTGTTCTTAGGATTTCCCAAAGCCTGGGAATATCCATTGAGCCTAACTGCAGGAACACTGTACCAAAGTAAAAAAAAATGCTAAAATAACTCTGGTTTCCCTTATGAGTTTATCCTTTGGTCAGAGGTCCATCCTTACCTTAATCACACACAGCTGTAAGTACCCATAGCCTTTGAGTCCCCAAGCAACAAATAAGAAGCATGGGCTCAGTTGGACTTGGCTCGAAGAGAAAGAGGGCAAGGAAGAGAGATATACATCCACACTCCCCAGATAAAGCCTAACTATGGACTTACTCAACTGCTGAGTGCTTTGTAGCAGTTGTGGATCTGTTTACATTGAAGTCCTCTCTCTCTGTCTTCAGTGGTTCTGTGATTAGGTTTCCCTCTCCTTCAATAAACAAAAACAAAGACCCCATCAACTTCCTGTAATGTCTGCTTCCAAAAAATTCCTTTGGATTTTTCCCTCTTTCCAGCAGCCTCTGCTCCATGAGTAGTACCTTTCCTGAATCAGAAGGCTCCTTTAAAGAACCACTCGGAAATACTTGGGGTGAATGTTTGGGCATGTGGGTGTGGATAACTGGGATGTCAGGGTGGAAATAAGTTTTGGAAGAGCCAAGGAAAGAAAGGTGTAGCAGTTTGCTCACTGGAGGCCATGCCCATAGATGTAAAAATCAGGCTTTATTTGAGATTTATGACCAATTGTTAGTTACAAGTTAGAACCAGTCCCTAACCATGATTGCTTTTAAATGGCTTCAGGGAAGAAACTAAGCCTTAGTTGAAAACTGACTAATATAGGAACCTTTAAATGAGGAAAAGGAGTGGATGGGGGTGTGGTGAGAGGCAGGGAACAAACTCCACTAACTAAAGTTAACTAAATGTTCTGATTAATAGAGAGATTTCTGAGCACAGTCTCCTAACATTCTTGCTCTTGAGTCATAAACACTGACACAACATTATTTACTCCTCCTGAAACCCTTTTGAGGGACTGTTGTTATCTTTTTTTTCTGTATGCAGAGAAACTAAATCTCAGAAATGTTAATT